CTTAAAAAATGCCATCTCATTGTGACAACTAAAACCATGTGATTAACTTCTAGTTAGGACTTACAGTACCGGTCAAAGGGACTGCAGCATTACACGCGCGTTAAGCGTGTGTACTACACGCACATTACACACAGTGTTCACGCACCTTACACGAACCTTACACACAAATACACGAAAATGCATGTAATTACACGCGTGTAACTACATGCAGTAAACGTGATATTGTGTGTAAAATTACTCACAGTCTTTCAACTGGAACTCACTAAGTGCATGTAATAAGAACGAAGTATTAAAAGTGCGTGTAATGAAAATGAAACATTTACCGAGTAACATTTACCGAGTAACATTTACCATACTGGACTGCACAGCGATACAGTTTAGTCTTTCGCCTTCTTGCTTCTGGTCGTCAAACGTTTCCGATAGAATTGACAAGTATCCTTAAACTGGCTTACCACTTTACAGTAAAAGTATTTTTCCGTTGTAGTTTCAACAAGTGGCACCAGCGGAGCACAGGCATGCTTAAGCTAGAATTCACTGAGATAACAGAACATAAAAATACAATGCCGCTTTCATTTTTAAATTACACGAATCAGTGTACTTTAAATCAATCCGAAGATTCATTAAAAATATTTTGTACTCCAAAGCGTTTGGAGTTAACCAGTGTTCAAAAGCTTTTCCCGTTGTGTTTTTTTCTTTTCGTGAGAAACAACAAGGGCGCCAGCGACTGACGAACTGAGGCTTGACGGACATGAAATAACAGCAAAACACAATATTTTGCTTGAGATTTTCAGTTAATTTTTAAACATCAGTTATCCTTCTTTAAGTTCAAAAAGCATTTGAAGATTCGTCANTTTTAAACATCAGTTATCCTTCTTTAAGTTTAAAAAGCCTTTGAAGATTCGTCATTAATAGCTCAGAAGCGAATGTTCTCTATCTGAAAACATGATAAAAATGAAATTTGATCTGTTTCTTGAAACACGTTGCCTAGGATGTGACCAAAATCTACCCCAGGCGAAATCCTGTGCAGTGTGAGAGTTGTTTTGAAATTAGTTACTGCTTCATTTCATTCTATACGCGAATACATATACAGACATGCAACGATCTGTCAACCAGACTTAACCCACGGTAGTCTGAGTGAAATGTACTGTAATTTAAGCCAAATAATCAAACGAACCGGGTGTAAACATTGCAGGTTTACACACGAATCTGATGAATTGAAAATTAACAAATTTGCTTAGATTTTGTTAAATTTTTTTTCGATTTTTCGCTGTTTAAGATTAAGAGAGAATCCGCGAGTTTCTGTTTGAATCCCTATTTCATTGTTATCGAAGGAACAGGAGTTCAAAATGACATTTCTTGCATGGGTAAACATTACGTTGCGACGTATGTCATACGTGTTTTAAGGTAAATGAAAGCTCAGAGATCTTTAAGAATTAAGCTTTGATGTTAAGCAGAAGTGCGTACTGCTACAGATTAAGAAAGAGTATTTGTTTGATAGGTGCTCGAGCT